TCACATCACAGTGTGAAGGGCATATGTTGCCAGTGATAATATGCTACATATAATCAAATTGAGGGGAAACGTTACGGTTCGTCCTGTTATAGAACCATTTTGTCGGGATTTGTAATCATGTAACTGTCAGAAATAGTTGACCTAACGGCTACAATTAAACTCCAACGGAATTTTTCCGTAACGGAACCGTAGCATCTCCCCAATTTGAGGATTAATTTGCCCAAGTATTTTAGTAAAATAAGATGGCCAAATAAAAAACAAAGAAAAAAATAAATTCAATTATGTTGAGTGCAAAAATTATACTACCTCCAATTCTTTTTAAATGTCATTTTGGCATTATCAACAATTAACAAAATAAATGTCGTTTTAGATATTTTGTACATATTTTTCCATTATTATCCTCATTTAACTAATAAATGCGTTACGTCTTTTCATATTTACTCTTCATATTTTCTCACAACATTCATCTTTATCCTCATTAATGAGGGTTATTATAGGCAAAAAAAAAATATTCTTAATAATTGTGCAACTTTTCAAAACGATAAATATTATGAATAGGAGGGAGTATATGTTTAGAATAGAAATATATTCTGTTTACCCCAAATTTATTTAAAAATACAAATTTATAACCATAAAACTATATTCTTTTTTTGTTCTATATATATATATATATATATATATTTAAGAAATATTTCTGTACCCTATGATTGTCAAGTTACATTAAATCACAAACAATATGATCAATAGGTCAAATCCTTAGACCATATTAAAGGATGAGTCTTCTCAAGTTCTTTGGTGTTCTAATCATTTAATTGTATTGATTAGTAACTCCAATTCTTTTAATAATTCAATCTCTACCTTTTTAATAATTATATATATATATATATATATATATATTAATTAATCATATTTTTCTCAACATTTGGTCCTCACCAAAATTTGTTTCATTTTTCCAATTCCGTGTTGTACCTATTTGTTAATAAAGTCAAAAAAGAATCGTTGTCACTTGTCTCATGCATTTGAAATCAAAACACAAGTCTGAACGTGTTGACTTTTTTTTTTTTTGGTCATGAAAAAGGCCTCATCATCAGGTCAATTTCACCGAGATTTTCCAAGATTGAAGGATAAATGGTGGTCAAACTCCTTCAATTTTGATTTTTTCTTCATATTTATTGTATAAGTACTAACACTATGTAACGAGCCAGCTCGGTTCATCTCGACTCATTACTTAAAAATGCAGACCTTATTGTGACACAATGACAACAATTCAAGCCCTATAATAAAATTTCCTAAAATTGGACACTTGCAATCTTTTTTCATTGCCTCAAATATTTAAGAAACACAAGTGAACTTTCCTATGTCACTATGCCGTACCATTTTGTGTGTTGACGTTCGTAAAATCCTAAAATCAACTGACATACGAAAAAACTAAATTAATCTTAAGGCCCACCAGAGAGAAAAAAATAAAGAAAAAGAAATAAATCGTGTGGGCCATGAAATGGATCGAAGAAGAAAAGTGGGCTTCCGTAGAAATCTCTCCAACCCTATCACATGGAAGTGGGCTCCATCATTCTATAAAAAGTCCAGTATGGACACACCACACTTTCCATGCAAACAGTCTCCAATCTCTTTTAAACATAAAAATAATAATAATAATTCTTTATTATTTTATTATTATTATTATTTTTTTTAAGAATGATAA